AATGTTCGCTAGTAGTAACAAGTGCATCGCTAGTAGTAACAAGTGCCACGCTGTCCTGTTATCACCCCCTTGTCCTGTTTCGCTTTCACTTTCTCCACCGCCTTGTTTGGGTATGTTTTCGTGAGGCAAACGACAAGCAACAGTGATACAGCGTTTTGATTTTGTCATGACGTACATCCTTATGTATTCCCCTCATGTGACCGAATCAGGAACTATTGTTTGCCGTTCTCAAGAGCTGGAGGCTATAGGAATATGATTACCGACGTTACCACCATTGTTGACGCTACAAAAGTGAAACTGTTTGAAGCCCATGCCGGCATAATTTTTTCTTCCGCATTTTCTTTTCTAGTAACAAAGGGCATCGCTACTAGGAGCGAGAAGCAACTAGTAGCTCCTGGCGTTTCTACTAGTAACAAAGGGCATTGCTTCTAGTAACAAGAAGCTACTAGGGGCTCCTAGCCTTACTACTAGGAGCAAGGACGCTACTAGTAGCTCCTGGCCCTACTATTAAAGACAAGAAGCTAGTAGGAGCAAAGGGCATCGCTACTAGGGGATCCTGGCCGTACTACTAGGAACAAGAAGCTACTAGGAGCATTTTGTTCCTTTCGAGGTCGGCAAAGATGACGTGCTTTTGGCACCCATGCAGCGCTGCCACGAGCTACGCTTGGATGGTCGTGGTCTTCATGTGCGACTCACGAACGAGGGCCACTATGCCTCGGAGCGACAATCGAAAAGAAAGCAAAAACGACAACCCAAAAATTGAGAGTTTAACAGCTAACGCAAAAACATGCCAAACACATTCTGAAGCGGTTTGATGTCGTTTCTGGGTGGGGAACAAGTGCATCGCTTCTAGTAACAAGTGCCTTACTAGTAGTAACAAGAACGCTACTAGGGGCTCCTGGCCGTACTACTAGGAACAAGTGCATCGCTAGTAGTAACAAGTGCCTTACTAGTAGTAACAAGAAGCTATTTAACCGCCGCTGGCGTGTTCCGCCGGCTTTCCAGGTGGCCATGTACTTTGTGCCTTTGGGTTGCATGCAACGTGGTTGGTCATGTATTGCAGTGTGACTCTTCACGGTTTCATGGCCTGGGCGCACAGGAAAGTTGGCAAGGCCATGAGTCGAGCTAAAGGCAGATGAAACACACTGTTGTTAGTAATGTGTCGCAGTGTGGTGCTGCCTTGTCTGATTTCTAGGGCTCGCAGGAAATGTAGCAAGGCCATGAGGTAAACAAAAGCAGACACGCAGATGAAAGACACATGTTTGTAGCAACTTGAGCACGGGCTTGGAAAGAAGGGGTTTGGAAAGAAGGGATAGAAAATGCCTGCAGTGGAAGACAGGGTAGTTGTTTATCTATAGAAGAGTTTGGCATCTTAGCGGACAGGTTGGAGGCATGGCAGGAGGAGGGTGCTCCGTGTTGCAGCCTTGATCTATCTTTGGGGCGTACGCTACGAGGATGCAGGGTGAATGCGGGAGTGCCGTAGAGGATGATGTGTGTGCTGTCTTGGCAAGGCTATGTGTGATGGAGGGTTCGCCGCACCCGAGGAGAGCCTGGGAGAGGACAGTGGCGGTCATCGGGAGGTGCTTGAAAAGGCAACCGACGGTGCCAAGCAAAGTGGGCGGTGGGAGTTGGATTCAGGAGCAGTTGGACAAGGAGGGGGGGGGGGGGGGGGGGGGGGGGTAGCAAAAATCCGCGCGTAGGGGAAAGACTTACAACACAACAGCAACAGCGACAGGAACATCCACCGAACACGCCGGCTACAGCCGGCGGATTAGGAACAAGTGCATCGCTACTAGTAACGAGTGCCTTACTAGTAGTAACAAGTTTCCTTTCACATCGATTTAAGTCGTTCGTTCGACAAGAAAGGACGACTTCAATGACGTACGTCCTCCCAATCAGCCGGCTTCCTCACTGCAGATTTGGTGGCCGGTAGACCCGGTGAAAGACTCGAGTCAGAGGGAGGATTGATGCATTCAAGATCGTTGAGACATGTTGAGACGAATTCTTTCCAGTTTTGAGGCCGCTAGTAGGTTGGAGGCCATTGCTATTAGTCAACTGGACTTGCTGGAGATCCAGGAGACACCGGCTGACTTCATCTCAGACGAATTCCTTTTCTGATCTCACTTCGTCTTGCACCTCGCGCCGAGCAGCGGGCACCGAGTGGCTTGCACCGAGCGTTTCGGAGATCCGAGAAGTGGAAAGAGCGGCCGTGGCCGTGGCCGTGGCGAAAGACAGCATTGGCATTGACGAGTCGAAGTCCATCTGCAACAAGTGCGAGTCGAGTCTACCAGGTGCGTGAAAAGCGTGTTGAGCGTGATTCCCGTGAAGAGCTTGACAACAAGGCTTACGTCGGTACACATGCCTTCCAAGGGTGCATGTAGCTTTTGGTTCAGAAGTGTATCATATAGACAGCAGCGGTGCAGCTCCCACCCAACAAGATAGCCTTTGACCACAGAGGTCTGGAGACATTTTTCTACTGAATCTGCATCTAAGGGTGTAAACAAAGTCCGAAGAGTTTGTAGGATTTAGGCAACAGCACATTCGCTCACTGAGCAGCGCTAAGAAGCAACACGTTTCTGCAAATTTTCAATCAAGTTGCGCTGGTTCTCCTCATCCAATGGTGTGCTGTGACAAGGCCTTGTCCTTCTCTCATTGCATCCATACATGTAGCTGGCAGAGCCACAAGAGACCTGGGAGTGAGTTTCCGCCTGACCGCCCTAGATGATAATCATGATTTAGGAAGAACGTTGAAAGACGCATTGATTTTCAGCAAGGTGGTGATTTTCGCCTTGCTTGTGACTTGGTTAAAGGAGACCGAAAGAGGCAAAGAGCTTTTGACAGGAAAAGCCAGAG